CACACACAAACTCAGTCAGGGTCTGGGCCAAAAGAGGCTTCAGAGTAACTCTCTGGATTCAAGGCCAAGACCAAGCACAAACATCCCACATTTTCATCCCAAACACAAAGGTGCTCTGCTTTTCCTTCCCTCACTTTTCCTCTCACTCCAGTGGGAGGAAGGAGGATGTGAGCAGAGGGGAAAGGAAGCAACGCTGTGGGAAAAGCTGTGGCTACAACTGTAGCTTCTGACTTACCTGTCCTTCTCTTTCTCCCATCATTGACCTTGAACCTTCTCTCCTGAAAAAGGTAATTTAAATCAAGCCATAAGGAGAGGAAGAGGCTTGTGAACAGAGAGGCCCATCAGACCCGAAATGAAAAGCAACGTTTCCCAAACCGAATGCAGGGGATGCAGAGCCTGATTCAGTGCCAACTGCATGCACCGAAGGCTCAGCGCCCAGAAAGGCCACTCCTTATTCTCAGAGAATGAACCAGTAGAAAGAAGACCTGCACCAAGTGGGCAGGGTCGGCAGGGGCCCAACTGACCTGTCCACCGAGTGGTCGGGGTAGCGGCCTCGGTCCCTGTGGTCAAAGTCATGGAAGCGATCCTGGCGGTTGAAGTCAGAGTGGTAGCGCTCATCCAGGGCAGCCCGCTTGGCCTCTGGCCAGTAGGCATCATCTCGCCTATGAGGGGGCACGGGAAAGAGGTAAAGCCATTTCCCCTCCAAACATACGACCTTTGTGGGAGCTGGTCAGATAGCCCCTAACTGTCCCTGGCCCCAGCACTTCACAGAAACAATTAATTTCACCACAGTGTTCCCTGCTACATGAGCCTAGACATCTGATTTGACCGCAATGACTGAATGACTGTTTCCGTTTTGTCCAGCACCTACACCCAACAGGACAGTGAGAAGTGGGCAGTGGCAGCCTTCAGACAGGCTCGGGGAACTCCACACAGCTGCCAATTCTCAGGAAACCAGTGCAACCCTGAGCAGCTCTTTACGCGCACCTGGCACCTCTCCTACTCACACACTGAGTTGTTGCCCCCCAGAGATGTCACTGACACAAGCACTTGAAACATACTGTTTCAGCACACTGGTGACCACCATAGACTATCATTAAAAGCCATAAGTGCTCCTAAAACAGCTTAGATGGCCCTTTACAAGAGTCAAAATATGTATTTCATGGGTTCCTCTTTAACTCGTGCAGCAGAAAAAAAGAAATAGCGCAATTTGTCCCAAGTTGTGATGCAGGGAGAAAGGCTGACGCAATCGAGGCTGGAATTATCCACCCAATTCCCGAAAGCAAAGTTTGAATTTAGGTTCCCGTCCTACTGGTGTGTAGCGTTATTCTATTCATACCTCTCATCGGTATATTTGAGGATTTGAAATTAATCGTATTACGAAAATGAGCAGAAACAAATTACAATGGATTAAAAAGCCAGGACAGGGCCCAGAAGAGGTGGTTTTTGGTCTCTTGTCCCCGCCGCCAGCACATTTCACGGGCTGCTCTAGTGCCTGGACCTGAACCCAGTGACTTAATCAGCACCACAGTATCCGGCCATCTCAACATCCCTGCTGGAGTACAGGGGAACGCCCATGTCCCTACCTGTGCATGCTTTTAAAGACAGATCTCATGCTAACATGACTCTAGGGTCTGTAACACATGATTCTGACCTGCAAGGGACACCCAAGGGCAACAGGATCGGGTGTCAGCTTACCGGCCGTCCAGGTCGTAGGGCCGCCGCACTGTAGGCCGCCGTTCCTGCTCATAGCGCCGCAGCTCCTCGCGCTCACGGTGGATGCGCTCCTGCTCGCGCCTGCGCTCGTGCTCCACGTGCATGCGCTCGCGCTCCAGCCGCTCCCGCTCCATGCGCTCCCGCTCCAGCCGCTGCCTCTGGAAGGCCAGCCTCTCCCGGGCAAACTCCAGCCGCTCGCGCTCCTCCCGCTCCTCGCGCTCCTCACGCTCCCACTGCGCCTGCATGCGCTGCTCCCGATCACTGCGCTCCCGCACCCTGCTGCACAACAGCTGAGCTGCAGAAAGGCCAGCAGGCATCCCCCAGCCAGGTCCACCCCCAGGAAACCAGGCTCCAGGGCTGTGTCTCCGCCTGCACAACCTACAGAACCGCATGCAAGAACAAGGAGGAGGAGCCTGGGGCCCAGGGACAATGTGAGAAAGCAGGAAGAGCTCAGGAGCGCCACCCGGTTCTCCTTCCGCCATGGTCCCTGATTAGCCAGACACCCAAGAGTGAAGGGAGGGGTGTGTATGTGTTCCCCTACGCATGATCAGCTATTATGTGAAAACTGGGCCTTATTTCCTGAACATTTCCTGGATTTTGACATCTGATTTCATGACATAAGACACTTATAATTAAGAAATGGACTATATTCTTCATGGTCAGTGACTCAAAGATAGAACCATTGCTCCCTAAACCATGAGTTTAAATTAGTCATTGTGAAATGAGGCTGGAGCACTAGAATCCAAATCGTATTGATGTCCATAAAGCCCCAGACCTGAAGCTGGGCAGGAACCCTACCCTGCCCAGGCCAAGGACAGTAACAGCTACATAATTTTAACAGTGACAGACGTTTTTGTGCTTTTCCTTCCAGGTTTTTGTAGATGCAACAAAGAAGACAGGTGACAAACTGTCTGTTCTTGACCCTTTCTCTATGCGTTCACAGATACAGTTGGCCCTCTGCATCCAGTGATCCCATCAGCCAAGGATCAAAAATATTAGGGGGAAAAAAAAACACCCCAAAACCTAACAATACCATGAATACAACACACAAAAAAATTATAACAAAACCAATAAACAAACAAAAAAACACGACAATATGCCGGGATTGGTAGCTCACCCCTGTTATCCTAGCACACTGGGAGGCTGAGGCGGAAGTAGCACTTGAGCTCAAGAGTTTGAAACCAGCCTGAGCAAGGGCCGGACCCTGTGTCTACTAAAAATAGAAAAATTAGCCAGGCACTGTGGTGCCCAGTGGTGTCCCAGACACTTCGGAGGTTGAGTCAAGAGAATCGCTTGAGCCCAGGAGTCTGAGGTTGCACTGAGGTACCATAACATCACTGTACTCTATCCAGGGTGAGAGTGAGATTTTGGCTCAAAGAAACCAAAAAAACAAAAAAGAAACCAAAAGCAAGGCACAACAAAACAAAATACCCCCACCACTACAGAATAACAACCACTGACACAGCAGTTTCATTATATTAGGTGTAAGTAGTCCACAGAGAATTTAAAGTGCTCGGGAGAATGTGCGTAGGCTATACGCAAACACCATGTTCTTTTTTATCAGGGACTTTGGCCTCCACAGCTTTGGATCAGGAGTCCCAGAACCAATCCCCCTGGGATACCGAGGGACAACTGTATTCTTGTACCCGAAGGAATGGATAATCTTGCCCTGTGTTGTGTCTGTGTTCTGGACATGATGGCTGTCAATTCCTTGGTTCACTCCACGTCTTGGTCACTCCCACACCTGCCTCCGTGGATCTCCGGCCCCTTCACGAGGAGCCCACAGTGTGACGAGCCCATGGTTCACTGAATGAGCATGAGGGGATGTTTTTGTTGTTCCCAAAAGCTACGGCTTCATAAAATGGACATGCAGGCAACACTTTCTTGAGCACAGGTTCCGCCAGGCCACATATGGATAAGAGAATGGCTGGGACTAGAACCCCTGGCCTTTCAAGCAGCTGTGGGGCATCCCTGGGCCCATTTACAGTCTCCCAGCACAAACGCCCACCTCCCAGCACCT